AACCCCCTCCCCAGAATCTGCTGAAGAACCTTACTTTTAAAAAGTGAGAACTGCTACACCTTTACAGACTTCACAAGGCCCAGCTGTTGAAACTGAGGTGTTTCAACTGCAGCTGGATTGTAATTTCTGTGGGAACACCCAGAACTTTGGCACAGCTGATGTCTTAATGCAGCACCTGCAATTTAGGAAGCCCCCAGGTCCTGCTTAACGTGCTGGTCAAGAGCTTCTGACACATCAAATCACAGTTTTTCCTGGAGAAGCAAATATCTCAGTGTAAGACTCAAGGCAACACAGGACACTCCTCAAGAGAAATCCCTAAATGACTCGTTTTTAGCATGTTAATCACAGATTGTCCCTCACAATGAGGAGTCTGTGATGTGGTGCTCACATCAGAGGGTAACACTCAGCTCCCTGGCTGTAGCTTGGTCTGTCTTTCTAGTAAAGATAAAAAGCATAAATTACTTATCTTCCCATGACTTTTAACTTCTCATTTTCCTGCGGCAGAGAGTGAAAACCCCCAGCACTTCCCACACGAGGAGGAGGGTGACGCTGCCTTCTCATCACAGCCAGAGCCGAGGCTGGGGATCCACAGCGAAGAGCCCCAGGATGTCAAACCTGAGCAAGACTCGCAAAACACCAGCAAAATCTCTGTGCTAAACAAGCGTGAGGCAGCCAAGCTGCTCACCACATCCTGCTGCAACGTGGGCTGCAGCAGGGCAGAGATCAGCTCCCTGTGCTGAAACGCAACAGCTCCGTGTCACAGCTCCCAGGGATTAAAACATGACATAAACCACAGTCCTTTCAGTTGTGTTCTTTAATTGTAGCTTTTTGGGTGTTAAATGTCACAGTGCACACCAGCAAGTGGCTTCAGGTTGTCTGCATTTCACAGTGTTTACAGCAGGTTAAACTTTCAGTCATGAGTACATGAAGTGTTTCTACCCAAATAACTACTGTTCTGGGTTTCAGCTTTGCACCTAAAATGTAATAAAGTAAGCAATTTGTGATAGATTTGTTCTCTGACTCAGGAAAATCTAACAGCAGGTTTCAGCAGAGAAATAGGGGTGGCAAAAGATCTGGTTTCAGATTCAGAGCAAGGTCAGCCAGACCCCACCTCAGCAGGGAACAGCTGCAACAGGAGAGACTTGGAACCATCAGCACCAGCCCCAAAACCAGGCAGGCAAAACCTAAAATTCCATTTATTTCCTACTCCAGGAATGTTTCCAGGAGGAGAAGAGGGAAACCATTACTTACAGGGAATATTCTGAACACATTTCCCCAACACAGCAAGTTCTGCAAGCAGCAATTAGCTGCAAAACTGCCTTAGAAAGTCACTTCCCAGAGAAAACTCTGGGAAAGACCCTTATTCCATTCGCCCAAAGGCTCACGTTGTAAAGCAAGTGAGAGCACCTTGGTCTTTCACAGATATTTTCAACAGAAAAGGGAAGGGTTAGGCTGTATCCATTTCTCATGCTGCTAATCTCCACTACCTCCCTACTCAAAATACACACCGTAGACGTTTGCCACAGCAAAGAGCGAGGTGTTCTTGAACACGTAGGAGGAGAAGGTGTCAGTGTGGGGATCCCAGAGGCACCTGCTGCTGATCTGCAGGCTCTGCTGGCCCAGCTGCCCGATGTGAGCCACCACCACGATCTTGTACCTGGGCACCTGCAGCGCTTTCACCCGCGCCTT